TCCTGCTTTCACTCATTACCCAACCCAGAGGACAATCGGCTCTTTTTATTAGCTGTAACAGGGGAAATGGCTTCATGACTCCTTTCCTTTTTGCTGAAGTCTTTTCCACCCCCGGGGATTTCTGAGAGAAAATGTGTCAAATGTAAAGCTGCTTTTGTTACTCTCTCCCTGTTAAATGACATATGCTCCCTCCACGCTGTGATTAACAGATGCATGGAGTGACTAATTTTGTTTGTTTGTTTTTGGTGATGCTTTGTTTCCGACACTGGGATGGCCACTTATGGGAAATTAGTCGTGCTGAGTGGGCAGAGGCTGCACCTCCACCTCATCACTGACAAACATGGGAAATGTTGGCTTGAAAGGAATAAACTGAGCTGAACAAAGCATCAGCAGAGAGGAGGAATCTGTAGCTCATCTTGGCATTCATTCATAGACAGCAGAGGATTTAACTGGCACATTATTGTGGGATTAAAAGCAGGAGATTTAATCCGAAATCAATACTCTGACCCTGAGGTCTGTGCATCTCAGGCCTTTCATTATTCCATCGTAATTACCACAAATCATGTGTTTTATTAATTGTTTTCCATTGATTGAGAAAGAACTGAATATGCTTTATGGGCTTGTTAACATCTGATTTATAGCCATGTTGAGTTTACAGGGTATTTACGTATAATCCTACTCAAGAGTCTTTTCCTGCTGATGGATATTATGTCATCCGTGTTGAGAGACTTTCAGATAACGGTACACTCATTTACGCACAATCAATCCTAACCCTAACCCCTAACCCCTAACCCTAACACATAGTTTAATTTAAATGTAATTTTCAAAGGTCATGTAAACGTGTGTGTGTGTGTGTGTGTGTGTGTGTGTGTGTGTGTGTGTGTGTGTGTGTGTGTGTGTGTGTGTGTGTGTGTGTGTGTGTGTGTGTGTGTGTGTGTGTGTGTGTGTGTGTGTGTGTGTGTGTGTGTGTGTGTGTGTGTGTGTGTGTGTGTGTGTGTGTGTGTGTGTGTGTGTGTGTGTGTGTGTGTGTGTGTGGGGGGTCAGGGCACGTCATGGTGACTGAATGCTGAGTGTCGCAGGTGCAAAAGCCTTTTTTCTTCTCAGTGCATGACACACCTGCTACTCCCCGAACACAGAGACTTTATTACAGGAATATAATCTCTGTGCAAACTCAGGAACACACTGGGTCTCAAATACACTTGCAACACAGGAAGAAGAAGCTAATATTTAGGTATTGTCCTACAAATAACCACCAAATCAGTATAATTTTATTTTTCTACAAAAACAATGGTAGTACATGTTATAACGTGGATGGTATACGGGTCCACATTTTGAATATCAAGCCCAAAATGTGCCTCAACAACCCCCACGATATTATAGGATCTGGGATGTTAATGTCAATATAACGAAACCATGGTTTGTGTCTATAAATGCATCAGTTAGGACAATATTTCACAGAGCAAACCGTCTCATTTTGGAGGACCCCTGGTGGCAGAGCGTTGCTTATGCTTGTCATTACCTCGTCCAGTAGTATTTTCTGCCTCTGTGAGATTACAGGAATCACTCGTACAAATTTCCCGGACAAAACATCCATCAATCATCTCTCACTGGCTGCTAACATGCGGTTATGATCCATTAGCAATTTTTTCATTTCGAAGGCTGACATTAGATTGAGGAACGAGATCATATAGTGTGCCGGGAAAAGGCTGTGTGGCTGTAATCTGCCTGCAAACACTACGAAAATACCACTGTAACACCAGCATGTGACACGGACCACAATGCTTTGCTCTCCTTAGTCACTCTAAATATTTCAATTTAGCAATCATAACTCCCCCGGCAGGCTTTCAGGGTTCCCATGCTCGGAGAATCTATCACACACTGTCGACGCGTGTTAAGGCATGACCTGCTGATTGCATTTTCACGCCGATAACTGCATGAAAAAATATTCCCTCTGCCTCCACCTGGGAGCTGGATGGGATCATTAGAGTGAAAATACACATGCTCTCAGGCTACAATCCAAATCCCCCAGGCTGACATGTTAACCTTGTATGAAGCCTTCTGGTTCAGAAATGGGAAACGTTTGACAGAAATTGTATTCTCCTCAGATCTGCAGATGTAAATGAACTGTCAGACCAGAAGTGACTCAGCAGCTTAACGCGCAAACATCATTATACTGCAGCATGAAGCCTTTAATGAGCTTTACTCAAACATGTATGTGACCAGCAGTTGTCTTAAGGTTGCAGAAATGTGCTTGTGACCAGAGGATTGCTGACGTAAACGCAGGAATGACCCCCCCACTCCACACAGGAGCTACTTAGTGACCTAAAGTAGAGGACTGGGATTGTACATGTCCAGTAAAGTGTTTCTGTGGCATGTCCACTTCTCATGTATTGTAGTAAACCTTGTCTTTGTTCATGCTGTGGTTTCAATTTCAATGAGTTTGTTTGCACCACTTTAACTACATCTAGCAGACTAAGCAAGCAAAACAGCAGTTTAACAGGCCAGACATGTGTTATTTAAATCTCCAAGCAATGAGCGTTGAACCATAATAAGCACACTCCTTCTAAAGTGCACCGCTGAACATCCGCTGCGCAGTCATATTTGCTCAAGTTAAAGATTTGAATAATCCCCGTCTGGGACCTTTTAACAAGAACATATATTTCTACACTAGGTTAACTTGATAGGCTAACAGTATACATAACAGACTACTTTACTTACATTACATGATCTCATCAAGAGATTGAGGAAACAGTCAATGTGTGTGAATGTCTTACTTTACACATGTGCAGTTTTAAAGAACGATTTGATTTGCAAAGGAATGGGAAGGAGACGTTCCTAAAGAGGCATTCTCCAGGCAGCATATACCATGAAATAATACAAATAAAATGTGAATGTGTGTATAAGCAAGGGAATGGCGGGGTACAAGTAGACACAAGATACGTGAGAAAGTGACAAATGAGGAAATCGAAAATGATCAAGGATCCTGAACTAACCTTGTAGCTTTTGCAGAATTGTAATAAAGCAAGCAGTGTGTCTGAGCATAAATAACAAATGTGTTCTTTTATTCAGACCGGGGGTGAAGAGGGGGATGCACAGGGGTTTGTGGAGGGAGGGCAAATGTTACAATGAAATATTGATGCAATTCATCTTTGTGCCAAACTTTGTTGTGCACGACTTGTACACAGCATTTGTGTGGATGAACAGGAGCTGTGTGCTCTCTGGGCTGTGTTATCTGTGAGCACTGAAACTGTGATATGAATCAAATACCTGAGATTACACACTCAGCACTGCAGCAGCTTTGTGACTTATTCTGTAGACTCTATGTAGATCAAGGGTGTGACTTGAGGTTTTCAGCACACAGTGACTCATGGACGTGTTTTTGTGAGGGAAAACAGAGGCTAATAATTCGAATGTGTGAGTTGGAAAAGTTTTCCTGGCAGTCTCTGTTGTAAAGTGCAGCCTTAATTAGACTGAGGATAAAGAAAGCATCAGTGCTTGATTTATAATCTCAATAAAGTAGACTATTATTGCAATTTATCTTGTTAAAATGCACCTTGTTGAGCACAGCCCAGAAAGTGTTCCTGCAATGCACCACTGTCAGCATTATTTCCAGAAGACTGTGCACTAATAAAGAGAACAAACAGCCAGGCTCCTCTGAGCTCTGAAGCTCAGCGAGAACACAACTCAGGAAGACAGTGGGCTCTCGAGTGGATCTGCAGGGAAATGCTATCATGGCGATCCAACAGCGATAGATAGAGAAATGGATAGAAGATCCCCAATTGGACGTTACATTTTTTTACGAAAGTCAACAAGCAATACAAGTATTAGTATTTCTGTATTTGGTTTGATTTGTGTCAAGTCAAGTAAGTCAGACTTTACTGTAAGACGAAGTTGTAGTTTGTTTCCTCTGCTTGCTAGCCAGAGTTATTTAGGTAACGTAGCGATGATCTACTTTACACGCCAATGCAATGTCACCTGATGTGTTTATCCAGCTAGCCAAGATGCTAAATAATGAGCAAGATCTGTTGCTTGTGAGTAACGGTACGAAACAAACAGGAATTTTGAAGACATTTTTGTTGATACATTTTGATGAAACACAGAAACTTTTTGGACCGGCGAAATAGCTTTTAAATTGACCCTGATATTATTTGTCTCTAGTGGATAAGGTCACGAGAAGGGGCAGGACTTCACTTATCTGTACATTTTGAAAACATGTTATTCAACAAGCCATTAAAATGCAGGCTCATTAGAATAAGATCCCGCCCCCATCTGAATATCTCCACCCAGTTTGAGAACTACCTTTGCAAAGGGGCACCTTAATGATCTCAAAAGCCAAACAGAGCAGAGCTTTCCAGGATGGTGTCTTAAAGAGACAGGCGCCAAAACAGAGCGTTTCAAACTGAGGGTGAACACAGGTATATTCAGACTGATAGAATGTGAAAAATAATGTATTGCAATTTATAAGCATGTAACATGTTCTAGTAGAAGCCTAAAATATAATGATGTGCCTTAAAATGTGCACTTTATGTCCCCTTTAATGTATTTGTGATGCCATTTCTGCCCTGCATTAGTGAGGTAATTAAGCAGTTTGATATCAGACAGAGAAATGAGAATCTGAGAGATTAATTGGGATGTTTTCATCTCTATTCGAGGTTAATTGCACAGTGACTGGCTTTGTGAATGGAGCCAGCCAACACAGTCCCGCCCCCCCCTTCCTCCTCCTCCTCTTCCTCCTTGGTGCCAAATTGGGAGCCCAGGCTGCACAGGTGCCAGGACAAAAAAAAGGGATTAGATATCAAATCAGCCAAGCACGAAGACACACTCAACTGTCTCTGATGTCCAGCCATCCCCTGCGCCTCTCTGTGTCACCATGAACACAGGAAGAGGAGCGGAGGTTGGGTGCCAATCCCTCACCTCGCTTTCCGTGCGCCCTCCCTCCTTCCTCCGTGTAATACAAACCGCGTGATCACCCATTCAGCAGTGCCTGCGTCTGCTGCTGCTGCTGCTGCTGCTGCTGATGCTGTGGTTGAAAAAAAAGAAAAACAATAAGCCGAGCAGCCGAGGGGCAGGCAGCACAAAAAGTATCCGGGAGACAGACGCACAGGTGCCGCGGAAGTTTACACGTGCTGCGGCGCATCCCTCCGCGTCTTTTGGGCATTATCTGGGATAACGTGAAAGAGACTGTAACTGGCGGCCATCCGGTACCCACTGATCCTGTGTAAGTGATTCTGCACATCAACTCACTGCGAATACTGTGGATTAATGATTGAAACATGAGACAGATTCAGATATGACATTTCTCTCACATTTCCTTGATCACCTTTTCGATGCCTGCTCCTCTGTCCATGTGTGTCTGACGTGTATCACTGCAGGATCTCACACACACATGTTGTCATGCAACGTGAATGAAATGCATAAAATGAGGTTTTTTGTTGTTGCAGGATGTGATATCATCAGGTAGATTAGCCTCACAGCTCGACAGTGCAGAGAAGAAACTAAAAGCAGGTGCAGGAAGTGACTCATCTTTTTGGAAAGGGACACTGCTTTGATTAGCAGGGGTTGTTTAGCATAAAGTCAGAGCCATGGTTGCAGAAACAAAGCTTTAAACCGAAGGAATGCAAGCTGAAAATCCTCATTAAGCACCCTTCTGAGTGTGCAGGTAGCTGAACCCGGATCAGTGTTTCTGTTGTTGTGTTTTGTCATGATTGTCACCTGTTGACAGTTTTCTTGGGAAGGTCTTTGGGGAGACACCAGGAAATGCATTTACCCACAAACTGGATGAATCAGTCAGCTGTTCATTGAAGGAAAAACAGAATTACAGCCCATTCTTAGATTGTTTTGCACATGGTGTCACATCCACAGTGAGTCAGACGAAGCTTCAACTAACATCTGTTTAGATTTTAACACCTCAGGTCATGTGTTTGCATGTGTGTGAATGTGTGTGAATGTGTGTGAATGTGTGTGAGTGTGTGTCTTCACAGATCAGTGGCAGCTTCTCTCATGTTGCCTGTCTCCTCTCTCTCTGCATAGGGTGGTAATTGGGCAGGTAGTGATGGATGTGTCCCAGCAGGTGGATGTCAGACTCTGACAGATGATGGAGGGCTCTCCCTCTGTCTGAGCCTCCAGAGAAATTTGAATGTGTGTGTGTGTGTGAAGTACACAAGCAGAGAGTGTTTATTTGGTGTGTCCTCACCAGATATGTGTCATACCAAGTTAAAAAGCCCACATGTTTGTTTTGACATTGACCAAGTTGTATTTTTAAAGTGGCGGCACTCCTATCCACATGACTTAGAAAAGTGTTTGGAGTTTGTTTGGAGCATTGATATTATGGGAAAGTATAGAGGCCTCTGATAACATTAACTATGATGAATGATATGGCAATGCATGCAAACCCTAATGCACGCAACATTTTAAAATGGAATAGTTGGTGCTAAACTTCAGTATGTAGTTGCGTTAGTTGAGTTGAGACACGTGGGCTTCTAGATTGTATTTTTATCACCCTTAATTGCCTTTTAAACTCTGTCTGTGTGGTTTAACGAACTATTTATAAAGTTAATACATTTCTTGTTGAATTAGCCCAATCTATAATTTCTTTTGTATATCCTATAAGTGAATATCTTTGGGTTTTTTGACTCGCAAAACAAGATATTTAAAGGCATCACTGGACTTAAACAATTTGGGATAAGCATTTTTTTAACAATATTTGGACATTTTATTGGTCAAACAATGAATCAAGATTGTAATCTGCAGCATTATTAGTTGCAGCTTTAGTATAGACCACATTTCTACATCCAACTGACCACTGAAGCAATAGACATCATTTTTCCAGACATCCCTTTATTTTTCTTCTGTAGTTTTCCTACATCCTCTGCAACTGATGGGGAGGTTTTACCACATATATAAAAAGTGATTTCAATGCAGAATTATCTTTTGTATTTTATAATATTTCTCTTTAAAGGCAATTTCGTCCAAGTCTTTCCGAAGTAGTTCTTATTCATTTGAAGATACTTATGGCTCTTGTACCCACTTACACTGCTCTCCCTTCAGGATGTTCAGTATGAATGTTGATTGGTGTTATTCAATTCATGACTGGCCAGTGCACACTATGTGCTCTGCTGTCTTTAAAGCTATTCAGATGGTGGAGCAGTTGAAGGAAACGAGTGCAGTATGAGCCTATATTCCACTACTCTTTCTTTCTCTTTTATGACTTCTTGTGATATATTTGACAGCTACTGGATGAATCCTGAGGACACAAACACCTTGAACACCAATGTCTGTGCTGTCATGTGGACACAGAAAAACAAAGCTTTGATTTAAAGGAGCTATTTCCAAGCACAGTTGAGGACATCTCCTGCTCATATTTCCCATAAATGCCTCACACATTAGACATCACTCTGCAAAGCCAGACCACCTTGAGTCCAAACTGTCAGTTCATTGAAGTCGTTCTCTATCTCCTTTCCTCTGGCCGTGAAGAAACGCTGATCCAATGGAGAGTGTCTAAAAACAAGCAGTTCATTTAGCGCCTGGCTGCCCCTCTCAGTGCCCCCCCATCCTCTCTCTGAGGTGACAGACGGCTGCAGCACCATGTTGGACGGGATGTTGTTCTTCGAGTGATTTAATACCAGTGTGACGTTTCAGATTGATACACATGTCCTTTGGGTTCCTGTGAGATGAATCAGTGCAACCTATGTTCCCACTGAAGCCCCCTCTCTTGTAATCTGACAGGAGTACACTTCATTGTTGCGCCCATTTCTTTGAATTTTCTTTCAATTGTTGGCCGTGCTTCAACTCGTTAACAAAGGTTACAGCTGATAGAATAATGAGCTGCTAAGAAAACCATTTAAATCCTCATAATTCCCTGCTGCAGCTCTGGAAATAACATAATCTGAAACACCAGATCCTCGTGGGGAAAAATAAGTTGTTGCAGCCGAATTACCTCGAGTCTAACACTGAATATTGTTATTATGAATAGGGTTATTTATCCTTGACTGTTTCAACACGAGAAAGGTGTTAACGGGGTATTTATTTATAGCATTTGAGTTTGTAGTGAGACAAATAAAAATCTAGAATCAGCACTACATGACAGACAGTACATCTAAACATGTGTATCAAGAGGTCATTTGAGAGGCTGTGAACTGCCCTTTCTGACATTTTTACAAGAAAAATGACTTTTTCAGGCAGATAATTTTTCTGTCGATTGATAAATGGATTATTCAACTAGTTTTTTTTAATGTGTAGAATCATGTGTTTAATTTAAACTGAATTGGCTACAGCTTTTTAAGTATGTTTCCTGTGTGTGTGTGTTTACACCTCTTAGTTGACTCATGTCAGTGTATTTGCTAATTGCACTTTATATAGCCCTTTACAAGACTGTTTTCATTCGTGTCTTGGCTCTAATGGTTAATTGATTACCAAGAAAGTTGGCCTTTTTTTTGTATCTGTTTGACTAATGAAATAGTAGACGAATAGTTACAGCTCTAAACTGAGGATAATGTTGCTTTTTTGTTGATATTGTTTGATAAATTGGCTGCGCTTCAGACACATGCACACATACATCTATGATCAACAGGAATATAATAATCCAGAGTGAATTTATCCTGGTCAGAACAAGAAATCCTGCTCTCTGAAGTCTAATAGCTGTTAGTAAAAGAGACGAATGTGTGCAGCTCTACATCAGCCGACAACATGCTGCTCAGTTTATCCCATCACAACCTCTGGTGTGTGAGACGGCTGCACAGAATTGGTGGAGCGTTGAACCCCAGAGTGACGCTCCAATCAGTGTCACTTAAGGAGGGTTTGTGTGCAGGAATAGCCTCTTTTCACTGTGCAGTGCTGTATATGAGGGTGTGTTGGTGGCACTGCTCCATAGAAAAGGCAGATTTGTGTGTGTGTGTGTGTGCAGTGATTTTTGTGTCGTTGCAAATTGTCACTAGTGGAAATGGATGTGCTGTGTGTGCGTCACAGAGGCTTCAGAGGCAGACACTCTCACACACACTCACACACATAAATGATGCTCCATCCCCGTCCTTGACACCACTCACTATAAAAAGAAGGCTTGAATAATTGCCTTCCCTTGTGGCCATACCATAATGGTCATTCAGTAATGGTGCATTAATCTCTGCTATACATGAGGAGAGAGAAGACGAATATGTGAGAGCAGCCTGCCGCTGTTGTAAGATGTTCCAGAGATAAAGGTTAATTTTCCACGTGCTGACTTTAGTTTCTGGAAAGATGGACGGGCTGAGACGCTCTACCTTGCACTTCTTTTGGATTTGTACAGAATTATCACTCTAAAACTAGCAGCTGTGGGTCCATGATTGACAACAGTTAGAGTCACATGCCACATTTAGTAGGAAACTGTAAGATTGTTAGATCTAACTGGCCATGATAAAGGACATTGTGTTGATGCTTTTGCTTTATCAGGGAAGCGCATGCTAAAAGATTAAATTGTAAAAATAATTAGTATTGTTTTGTCTACCAGATTATTTCCTATTGCTTCTAAAAGATTTAGGCTCAGGTTATATACATTTAGCACATTGCCTACGATGTGTAGGATAATTTTTGCACACGTACGTGCACCTGAGTGTGTATTTTGCACTAAGGATGTGATTTGGTCAATCTGGAGGTGGGGGCGCAGTCTCTTATCACAGCAGTTGAATGTGAATGGTCTTTATTCTCCCTGTATGATACCACTGAGAGATTTATTTTCCGCTGTAGTTGAGAATTTGACGGGAGCTCTTTCTATCACTTGAGTATGTGTGTGATTGAGTGTGTGTATCTGTCTGCAAATGCCCTTGTGGATGTTCAATTCACACTGATGTACTCACATCTGAAAGGATGAAATAACTTGAAAAACTATTTCCCTGAAGTTTTCATCAAAATTACAAACACTCATTATTTCAGACGGATATAATTAAGATTATTTTACTGCGTGTATATACTCCAGAGAAGTAGTAATGTTTAAACTTAAATGTCTCATTGCCATTTAATAAACACACTATTACACCTTCCTTAATTATAAATATGAAACATGACTTTATGGTGTCCATTAGCAGCAGGATCATGAGCTGTAGTTCAACAGATATCCTGAGACAGATCTGAGGAGGACAGCCGCTCTGAAGCTTTTGGCTCAATAATGTATAATAATAGATCGGACATTATTGTCTGGTCGTCTGAGTCATCTCTCTCTCTGCTGCCAGTCTCTCCCCTCTTGTTTAGACGCTGCAGTTAATAGACCGTCTCCTTCTGTCCGTCTCCTCGTCCGTCTCTGTTTCCCTCCCGTCTTTCCTCTGTTTGAGTTTTATTGGCCAGTCCTCGATCTTAAATCTCCATCTTCCTTTCTACACTTCTTTGCTTGTTTGAGTCACAAATCACTGTCAGACTTGTTTTTAAAAAGGCATAATATGTAACTTATTGCGTTTTAAATGTCTAAAAACGACTAGACTTATGTTGTGTACTTGCTTTTTCCCAAATGTTTACAACAAACCTAGATAAATTCGTAATATTTATCAAGCCAACGATCCTTTTAATTTAAGCGTTAGCATTCAACTCATCATACAGTACGTCAGTGATTAACAAAACAAGCTAAGCTAGCACTAGCCATTGTATTTAAATTAACTCATTCACTTACTTAAAATGTATTTTCTGTTGCTTTTCATTACAACAAAAGCTGGGCCATAGCCCTATTGATGTTGGGGATACTTGGCTAATAGAGCGGTGCAGGAATGAGTCCCAAACCCAGAAATGAGTAAGCATTGCATCACTTCCTGTTCCCTCGCCTGGAAGTCAGTGGTGTGTGTGTTTTTGACTGTTAACCTGAAACAAGAGCTGAAGAGGTTTTATTTTCTCGGACATAAAATACGTAAGTAAATACCACTGGTGAATTTAAAAACATCTGTTGCTAACAAGTGTCTAAATTAAATTACTTACATCATCGTGCCCAACATTAGCCGCCTTTAGCTTAGCGGTGGTTACTTGAAGCAGGGCTGCCAACATTTGAGTTCAGCTTGGAGTGAGATTTTTTTTTTTTGGTGAACCACCGGGCGCTACAGTGGAGTACGCGCATACACAGTGTACCCGCGACTCTTACAATGAAGGCTCGATAATCAGCTCACAGCATATCAAATGGCATATAGGTGTAAGCAGGGGTAAAGTGCTATTTTATAAGTGGGGGTGGTCCTCACCTCCTCTAGGGGGGTCCGGGGGCATGCTCCCCCGGGAAGATTTTTTTTTTTAAATATTGAAGTTAAATGCATCAATCTGGTGCACTTTGAGAGCAAAATGAATTTAAGGATACATCTCTCAACACCCATATGAAACACAACTTTAAACAGATTTTCTTTTTCTTTATGTAATTATTAGGGCTATACTGGCACTTGTTAGCATTAACTTTAATTAATTAAAAAAGAACAAAAGAAAATATTTTTACTTTACCTGTGGCGCGAAAATATCTTATAATATATTCTCCTTACCTTCTCTTATTCTTCTCATCCTCCTTCTCCTTCGTCTTTGCTCAGACCCCCGGTATACCCTCGTTACATCCAATCAGTGTGCAAATACCGTACAGCCAATCACAATGCGTGACGCTGTCCAGGTTGCTAGGCGGCAGTGCTACGGACCGTGGGTGTCAGGTGACGCAAACAGGAAGTCCTCCGTAAGCCTGACCGTCTCATTTCGTAGACCGCTCGGTTTGCTGTTCCTTCACTTTATTTTTATATTTATATACATTTGTTGTGAACGAAAACTTAGCGTGAGGAAAGGCATGTGTGGCGTGAGTGCGTGAGATATGTGTTAATTGCGTGACTCTCACGCTCAATGCGTGAGTGTTGGCAGCCCTGCTTGAAGTCATGTGACATGCTGTAATTCCTTTATAGCCCAACATTAGCCACCTTTAGCTTAGCGGAGGTGACTTGAAGTCATGTGACCGTGCTGTAGTTCCTTTATAGCCCAACATTAGCCACCTTTAGCTTAGCGGAGGTGACTTGAAGTCATGTGACCGTGCTGTAGTTCTTTATATCCCAACATTAGCCTCCTTTAGCTTAGCGGTGGTGACGTGAAGTCATGTGACCGTGCTGTAGTTCCTTTATAGCCCAACATTAGCCACCTTTAGCTTAGCGGTGGTGACTTGAAGTCATGTGACCGTGTTGTAGTTCCTTTATAGCCCAACATTAGCCACCTTTAGCTTAGCGGTGGTGACGTGAAGTCATGTGACCGTGCTGTAGTTCCTTTTATAGGCCAACATTAGCCCCCTTTAGCTTAGCGGTGGTGACGTGAAGTCATGTGACCTTGCTGTAGTTCCTTTATATCCCAACATTAGCCGCCTTTAGCTTAGCGGTGGTGACGTGAAGTCATGTGACCGTGCTGTAGTTCCTTTTATAGCCCAACATTAGCCACCTTTAGCTTAGCGGCGGCGACGTGAAGTCATGTGACCGTGCTGTAGCTCCTTTATAGCCCAACCTAACGTTAGCTCGAGATTTAATTTACTCTTCAACTATTAAAAACAATGATGTCAATGGAGAAATTCAGTTGCTTTTTGTCCAGGAAACCCTTTAGATGTTCATGAAATCTGCAGGTTCGTTCCTCATGTCCACAATTTGAATTTCTCCATCCCTCTGTCCTCCTGCAGGGTTGTCTCAGCCTCGGCCCCCAGAGCAGCAGATCCTCCTCCATCCTCCCCCCTGCCTCCCCCCTGTTGGACCAGCAGCTCAGCGTGGCGAGGCCGGGAGCGATGGGCCGGAAGCTGGACCTGTCGGGCCTGACGGACGACGAGGCGGAGCACGTCCTGAAGGTGGTACAGCGGGACATGAAGCTGAGGAAGAAGGAGGAGGAGAGGCTGAGGTGAGTGTTTTTACACATTTAAGAGTGTCTTTACACATTTAACGTCACACACACACAAGCGGATATGATGAGGAGTTGCAATAGTTTTTTGACTGTCCAGATTTATTTGTAACACATTGGATAATTTCACATTTTTGTACATCCCCTTTTTTTATTCTCAATGGAGAAACTGGTACAAAACCCGCTTTTGCCCCCGGAGAACTTACATTTTCTGATCATTCTGATTTTAACTTTTTAAAAAGCAGTGTACATTTTCAACAATCATTGTGTTTTTCAGGATAGTCAGTGCTAAGGTGGTCATGCCCAGGGAATAGGAATGATGATAACTTTTCATTAATAATTGTCATTTATCCAACCAGCCAAAAATGGAAGGGCTTAGCGAAAGGTCAATTGCAGGTTTGTTTTTCAGAAAAACAAGTGACTAAATCTGCATGAAATACCTCTGGGTGATTATAATCTATCTGCTGCTGAACTAGGACAGCTTTACCCTTTATTTGATCCATTTTAATTGAACTTGGCCAACAAACAATCCTCAAGATCAGTGATTGCTCATATTTTAAGTGTTTTAGAGGCCAACAATTGTTATTACCTCCACCAAGAAGGTTATATCACTGGTTTGCTTGTTTGTCAGCAGGATTACAGAAAAATGCATGGCCTGATTCTCATGAAATATCAGTGGAAATGTGTAGCGTGGGCTAAGGAGCACATCTGAATCACAGGGCGGATTCATATGACTTTTTAATTATGTTGACAGGCTGGGCGGATGTCAGCTCTTCTCGTTATGATTTATATGTTCATACATTAGTAGTAAAGCTTCATAAAAACACAGAAACTGCTCCCATCCGTCAAGAGTTTATTGTGGGGTTTGGTTACCATTCATGTCGACAACATTTCCTTTTATTTTTTAGAAAATCCCACCGGAGGGAACACATTTAAAAACACAAACACCTATATAACACACTACAGGAAAGAGAAAACCCAAGCAGCAGAATAAGGCCTCTTAACTGGCGTTTGTATGTTTCCAGCTGCAGTTATTTCTTAACAGGATTTCCAGCTGATTATTCTGGTGCACTCAGTTCAGTTTGGGGGAGATGTTTGTCTTGTCTTTTTGCTAGCGGGCCTCCAGTGTCACAGCTCCTCACTTAACATGCGACAAGTGCTGGCTGCTCTCCTCCTCACCTCCTTTTTCCTCCAAGTGACAGCCTGCACTCAGGGGGGATTCTGTCGAGTTTTGACAGGCCTCCATGGGGGGGGGGTTTAGTCATCAAAAGTTTGTTTGGATTAGTTTCGTCGACAGAGGGACGTTTCCATATTAAAGGTCTCCTATTATACTGTTTTTCATCAATATATTATAGGTCTCAGATATATACAGAGCCTGTCTCTGATTGGCTGAAACACCAAACTGATCATTGCAGCATCCCATAATCCCCTCTGTTTCAGCCCTGTTTCAAAAGTGCTGATTCTCTGTCTGTTACTTCAGATGAAAATAAGGAGCCCCTCCCCACGCCCCTCTGAGAGAGATTTGGTTAAAAAGAACACAATGGTGCTCTAGGAGGAGATTCAGGTGATAAGGTGGGGGGGGGGGTTACCTTGGTTGCTGATTGGCTAATGGTTACACAAGCCAAAACATTGTTATGACATCATAAAGTGGCCAAAATCTGATCAGCTCATTTTCAGACAGGTTTTTATATAAATGGATCAGGACAAAAAGAGAGAGAATCTTTTTTACTGAAACTTTCAGAGTCTCTTTCCACAGAGGGGACACATGTTGATGTAGAAGAGACATGAAGAAGAGCGTACACATGTTGATGAAGAAAAGACATGAAGAAGAGGGGACACATGTTGATGTAGAAGAGACATGAAGAAGAGGGGACACATGTTGATGTAGAAGAGACATAAAGAAGAGGGGACACATGTTGATGGAGAAGAGACATGAAGAAGAGGGGACACATGTTGATGTAGAAGAGACATGAAGAAGAGGGGACACATGTTGATGTAGAAGAGACATGAAGAAGAGGGGACACATGTTGATGTAGAAGAGACATGAAGAAGAGGGGACACATGTTGATGTAGAAGAGACATGAACAAGTGGATTTTTCATAATAGGTCCCCTTTAAGGCTATTAGTCACAACAATATCCAGAATGTGTTTTCTGCTGGGTTTGTCGTGTACCCTATAATTTAGTCAACACAAATATGCTGCTCTGCCCACCAGGCATCCGCTATGTTGTTGTTGTTGTTGTTGTTGTTGATGTCTTTCTTGGGTTTTTAACGGTGATCCTCTGTGGTTTTGTGTTCCTGAGTGATTAGGCTGCTCGGCTCGGAGCAAATATTTTCTTCACCAACCAGAAAATCCGCCGTTGGTCTCGACTTATTTTCCCAGAATCAGATTCAAAGCACAGATGATGTATTCCCAAATTACTGGGCTGTAAAATGTTCTCCCATCAAGCTGCCATGAATAATCAATAAGAAGGGATGCCTCTCAGGCTGTTATTACTTCTCTTTACCGAGAAAAGACCAGCAGATTAATGTTGATTTACCAGCAGGCGGACGTCGATGAGACAACAGTTCTTCATAAAAGCAATCGGGCTCCGTGTTTGTTGCCTTATTAAATTAACGAGACTTGAAAAGAGAAGTTTCCAGAGTAGATATTTGATGCAAAGTGACAGTAGCTTGTTTCAATATCTTAACAAACTGTATAAATATGTCAAAATACACAAGAAAGAGCAGAAGTGTAATCAGCAAGAGTCCATTATACAGATTGGCCTTTTTTCACAATATTATTATGGGCATTATATACTGCTGCAATTACAGTATGTGCAAGAAGAGTTTTAGTGGTGTAGCTGATCAGTGTGTAGTTTAATCTGAATAATGCATCATATTTCATAAGGTAATATGTTTTGTGTGTCCAAAATCTTCACCAGTAAAGTATACAGAAGCTATAGTTAAATGGCAGGAAAGTAAAGAGTGGAAAATCATAAAATGGAAATCCTTCTATCTCTCATACTTGCACCTAATAAGTGCAGTACGTTATGTTATCTTGAATGACTGACATAAGAGGAATTGAACACAAATCTGGTCATTGATTAATCGTTGGAAGTCATTTTTTGAGCCAAAACAAAGTGGTTTCTGCATCTTATATGTGGGTATTTGTTGGTTTTATTAGTCAGACAAAAGGAATTTTAAGGCATAACCACATGTGCGATATGTATCCAACGTTTAAAAGACTACAGCGTATTTATTCAGTTAATCAATTATGAATTTAAACATGAGTTGCAGCCAGATTTGTCACTACTGCTTACTCTGTAACAAATCAATAATGGCTTGTTCTTAATCAGTATTTATTTTGTATAGTAGTATTAGTATGCCTTGTGTTTTTATGAATGAATCTTAGTCGAAGAGGCTGTTTCTCCTCCGATGAACACACTTTCTCTGCATCCAAATGACTCGGTTGAATAAATTCACACTGGTCAAAGCCAAATACTACATTTCATCTTGAGAACACACACATATCCTCTCCGGTGATCTGTTGAATTGTACATTTCATTTTGCACGAATCACTCATCTCATAAAGGACTGCTTGTGTGTTGGACATCGTGTAACCAATCAGATTGCAGAAGGAGATAGAAAACATATTTCCCGTCACAAAGCGTCTGAACAGTAATATGAAGAAGCTTGTGTACGGCAGATGGTGGTTGAGTGTTTTTGCACATCGTCCCTGCGGGGGTTTCTCCTCCATGCTCGGCTGACATTTGTTTTTCCTCTTGAATGAAGTCAGCCCTGCAGAGTTGTAAATCACCCGTTGAAGGATTCATTGGGTAGTTTATAAACCTCAGCTGGCACTTTAAAGGCTCCATTTTAATTTTCTCCCATGCTGAATAATAAGAAACGTTGAAACACTTAACTGATATTACCTTCCGTCTCATAAATACGCAGCAGTAATAAATATGTAAATAAAGTGTTTACAGTAGTTCACCTCAACTTTTAATGTGGGTTTGTCTCTGCTTTTAAAGGTTTAATCACTGAGTATGGGGATTTGTTATCATGCTGTTTATTATTGTAATTGGTTTAAGAGCTTTATTATTTATAGGACCATGACTCGACACAAATCTAATTACAGGTTTCATGGCTTTAGATTGTGTTTTTACTACAAAGTCAGTTCCCAAAGTTTAATTTCTAAGCAATAAAGACACTGTATACATTTTGTTAACTCTTAATAGCCACATTTTGTATATTTCAGATATACAATACACCATATTCAGTGGCTTAGTGATATTATTTTGGATGTGCTGCAGTACTACATGCTTTAACCCTCCTATTGTCTTCGTTTCCCCCCCTTACTTTGGTGTTTTCTATCTAGCTATACCTGGAAAAGTTACACCTGCAATTCCTCAACTTCTGCAGACTAAAGTGCTGGCTGTCTTGTTTTCTCTTCTTGTATTCTTGTTTGTTTCCAATTATCATTGCCAACGACTCTAACCGTGACCTGCCGCTCAACTGGTTTTGAAATGCTAAAACAAATCTTCAGTAACTTATGCGGCGAAGTTTCTCCTCAGCTAAAGAGTGAGAGTATTTTTCTGCCAATTAGAGCGCGTGTCAGCTGGACCTCTGACCTCTCCGCCTCAGTGGCCCTGCAGCTGGAGAGCCTCATTATGGAGCTGCAGGAAACTCAGTACTGGGTCTGCTTAACAAACAGCGCAAGCTCTCCCAGAGGAGTCAGACGGGGAAATTATTCTAGATAGAAATGTCTATCCACCACTGCATCTGAGTGAGAGGGGAGAAGATGGCTCTCAGTGTTAGGAAGGATCCACTTTACACGTGTGAGAGCATCGAGCGGCCGATTACTGCACCTGTAAAGCTCCAAACCTCATTTCAATTGCAGCTTTGACAAATCCACAATGCTTTGGGAATAAGTCTCAATTATATGTGACGTTTCGCACCAATTTGCTCTTTCTTAATGCGGGTTAAATCCAGGCTCTTAAATGCAGCCCTTTTATCAGA